CCCATCCTAGACTACTTCCATGTTTTAGAGGGGTTGGATGGGTACAGGGGAAGATGTTGTCACTGGAAGCTATGTTCTGGAACCCAAGGTAACTGTCATTTAGGAAAATGACTTATTTTTGTGTCTTCAGCCTTGAAGAGGGGTGAGATAGTTCAGGTAGACTAACACCCCTTCAGTGATTTTAATGTGCCTCTGCAGAGTCAAGCAGACACAGAATGGAGGCAGACATGTGTAAGGCTTTGCTTTTAGTTCTCCCGTGGGCCAAAGTAAGGAGTCGATGCTTTTTTTCCTCCCAAAAAGCAGCTTTGTAAATGCCTGTGATGATGTGGCTTCACTTGAACACACATCCTTAGGATAACCTCTTCTTTTTTTTTTTCTTTAATTAATTTATTTTTATTTTATGTGCATTGGTGTTTTGCCTGCACGTATGTCTGTGTGAGGGTGTCAGATCTTGGAGTTACAGATAGTTGTAAGCTGCCATGTAGGTGCTGGGAATTGAACCTGGGTCCTCTGGAAGAACAGCCAATGCCCCTAACCACTGAGCCATCTAGCCCTGGATAACCTCTTCTTCAAAACTTTATCCTTATTATTTTTGACGATGTGTATGTGTGTGTCTACATGTGGGTATGTGCACATGAATGTCTGTGGATTTATGTATGAAATTATTTTTAGAAATATAAAAACAAGCAAGCAAACTAACATGGCTGATATAACCAGTTCCCAACTGGTAAGAAGTCTGAGGCAGGAGGATCATCTGTGACAAGGAGTTTAAGACTAGCCTGTGCTGGGCATTGGTGGCACATGCCTTTAATCCCGGCACTCGGGAGGCAGAGGCAGGCAGATCTCTGTGAGTTCGAGGCCAGCCTGGTCTATAGATCGAGTGCCAGGATAGGCTCCAAAGCTACACAGAGAAACCCTGTCTCGAAAAACCAAAACCAAAACAAAACAAAAAAAATGATTAGCCTGGTAGTGCCAGCTAGTTTTATGTCAACTCGATACAAGCTAGAGTCATTTTGGAAGAGAGAAATTCACCTGTGAAAATGCTCCAGCTAGACTGCCCGGTGTGCAAGCCTGCCATGCACGTGAATTTTCTTGATTGATGAACGATGTGGGCGGTTCCAGCTCACTGTGGGTGGGGTCACCCCTGAGTGGGGGATGGTGGTCCAGCATGCTATAAGAAAGCAGGTTGAGCAAGCCAGGAGAGATCAAGCCAGTAAACAGTACTTATCCATGGGCTCTGGGTAAGCTCCTGCCTCCAGATTCCTGCCCTGGTTGAGTTCCTGTCCTGACTTCCCTCAATGATGGACTTTGCCATGAAACTGTAGGCTGAAATAAACCCTTTACTCCACAAGTTATTTTTTTTTAATATTTATTTATTATGTATACAACATTCTGCTTCCATGTATATCTGCACACCAGCAGAGGGCACCAGATCTCATAATGGATGGCTGTGAGCCACCATGTGGTTGCTGGGAATTGAACTCAGGACCTCTGGAAGAGCAGTCGGTGCTCTTAACCTCTGAGCCATCTCTCCAGCCCCTCCCCAAGTTATTTTTGGTTACAGTGTTTATCACAACTATAGAAACCCTGAGAAACCTAATTTATTTATTGAGATGATCTCACTATGTACCTCTGGCTGACCTGGAATTCACTATGTACGATAGGCTGGCCTGGAACTCCAAGAGATCTGCCTGCCTCTGCCTTGCTAGCTCAGTCTTAATTATCAACCATAACTACTAATCTATATATTTTTATAAGGACTTATCTCACAGAGGACGCTGGCCTTATGTGTCCTTTCTTCCTGGGATCACATGGCGACTTTCTTTCCTACATTCCCCAGAATCCTCTTTCTCTCCTAGTCCCGCCTAACTTGCTTCCATTTTGGCCAACCGTGCTTTATTTATCAACCAATAAGATAAAACATATACACAGAAGGACCTCCCCCATCACCTCTAGACTAGTCTTGGACTCCTGCCTCAGCATTCCTAGTACCTAGGGGACTACCTGTGCTATCTATAACCCCCATTACTGTTTCCAGGTTTTTTGTGATTTGCTTTTTAACTTATTTATATTTGTTTGTTTATATGAGGACTCTGCATGAATGGCTGCAGGCCAGAAGAGGGCATTGCATCCCATTATACATGGTTGTGAGATGCCATGTGGTTGCTGGGAATTGAACTTAGAATCCTTGGAAAAGCAGCCAGTTCTTTTAACCACTGAACCATCTCTCCAGCGCCAACATTTTATATGTATGGGTATTTTTGGTTTGTTTGTTTTCAAGACCAGGTTTCTCTGTGTAGCCCTGGCTGTCCTGGAACTCAACTATGTAAACCAGGCTGGCCTTGAACTCACATGGATCCACTTGCCTCTGTCTCCCGAGTGTTGAGATTAAAGGCGTGCGCCATCATGATGCCCAGGCTTTTACACTTTTAAATATAATTTCACAGGTGTGTACTGTATTTACATCAATTATACCCCCTCCCCCCTCCAACTCCTCTCTTCTCACTCCCTCTGAAATAAGACCTCTTCTTCTTTAATTATTGTTTCTAAACATGGAGGCACACACATGTACATATATAAATATAGCCTTCTGAGTCCCTTTAGTGTTGCTCTGTGTATTTAGTGGTGACTATTTGGATGACCTGTCTATCTTCTCACGGGAGAAGATGAACTCTCCCTCTCAGCAGTCTTTCATTGCCTGTAACTCTTCATTTAGGAGAGAGGCCTTCTGATATTCCCCCATATATGTTGGGATGTTAACTCATGCTGTCATTTTGTAGGTCTTGTTTAGGTCATGGAGATTTCATGGGTGTAGCTTCCCTGTAATATATAGAAGATACCCTGATTCTCTCCTCTCTTATAATCTCCCAGCTTCCACTTTTTAAAAAGGTGGGTGCCTATATGTTGTCCTGGCTGGCCTGGAACTCCCTATATAGACCAGGTTGGTCTTGAATTTGGATTGATCCTCCTCAGTGCTAGAATTACTGGCCTTAATCTTTTTCTTTTCTTTCTTTCTTTTTTTTTTTTAAAGATTTATTTATTATGTATACAGTGTTCTGTCTGCATGTATGCCTCCAGGCCAGAAGAGGGCACCAGATCACATTACAGACGGTTGTGAGCCACCATGTGGGTGCTGGGAATTGAACTCAAAACCTCTGGAAGAGCAGTGAGTTCTCATAACCTCTAAGCCATCTCTCCAGCCCCCTGGCCTTATTATTTATTTTTTAAAAAATCTTCTGGGAGACAGAAGCAGGAGGATCTTTGAGTTCAAGGCCAGCCTGGTCTACATAAGGACTACATAGAGACCTTGTCTCAAAATCTTTTTTTTTTTTTAAACATTTATTAATGTGGGTGGCACGGATGTCACAGTATGGACGTCAGAGGATAGTTTGCTGGAGCCTTTTTCTATTATGTGGGCCCCAGAACTGGAGTTAGGGTCAGCAACAAGTGCTTTCATCTGCTGAACCATTTCACTGGACTTCCTTAAAAACTCGGGTGGTGGGGCTGGAGAGATGGCTCAGGGGTTAAGAGCACTGACTGTTCTTCCAGAGGTTCTGAGTTCAATTCCCAGCAACCACATGGTGGCTCACAATCATCTGCAATGTGATCTGGTGCCCTCTTCTGGTACGCACTGTATACATGATAAATAAATAAATAAATCTTAAAAAAAAAAAAAAAGTCGGGTGGTGGCAGCACTCACCTTTAGTCCTAGCACTCAGGAGGCAGAGGCAGGTGGAACTGTTTGAGGCCAATCTGGTCTACAAAGTGAGTTCCAGGACAGCCAGGAACACAGCCAGTTAGTTACACAGAGAAACCCTGTCTTGAAAAAACATTAAAAAGGGTGTGTGTGTGTTTTGTGGGGCGGGGGAGAGCCAGTCGCATGTAGTCCAAGCTAACCTAAGATTTTGGGAACTTCTGATATTCCCGCCTTCTGCTTCCCTCCTGTTGGGGTTGCAGGCATGCGCATGCATTACCATGACTGGCTCATTGCTATTTTTAGGTGGATACAACTTTCTGAGGCATAGGAATTGCAGCGAAGAAAGCTCAGAACTTCCCCTTTTGGAATTTGGTTTCTGGGCCAAACTTCCAAACAATAGCGACCGTATTTTGATTTGTAGCTGAAGTTGCTGGGTCTGGAGGTGCAGGGCTCGATCCTTTAAGGGCGGTGATGCCCAGGGGACAAGCCTCAACCCGGGAGAGCCAGTTTCTGCCCCTAAGGGTGTGAGGACTCCATGAGTCATGCTCCTGGTCCTGTTGGAACCTTAGGAAGGTCCCTTAGGGTTCAGGCGACTCGATCTTCGCATCAACAAAATGGGAACGGTAGTCTTCACGCCCCACAAAATCAGGAAGGCTTTTTGAGGACTCAGTTCCGGGTATGGAGGGGGAAAGCTGGCACGAGAGGGGAAGGAGCCCCACCCCTACCCACCACGTGGAGAGCCCGGTTCGCCCGCAGTGAGGCCTCCGGGCGATCCCCGAGCTCCGGGTGTGGCGGAGGCGGGGCAGAGGCTGGGGCCGTACTTAGAGGAGGGGAGAGCCAATACCTCCCCCGGCACAGACGCTGCGGAGGGGCGCGGCCTGGCTTCCCCGGCCAGCCCCGGCCCGGAGGGGAAAGAGGACAGCCAGGGGCGGGGCATGGAGGCGTGGCCTCCGGGCTGGGTTTTTTTTTTT